TCTTGTGTCTCTTCAAAACTTTTCATATTCAAACTTGTTTTTAGTCGTTATAATATTTCTCAAACGGCTATAACCATAATGCGAGTGGATTAACCGAATGTGATAGCCAAACTTTTAACTTCTATCGGCAAAAATGAATCGAACTGAATCAAAACCTTATGAGTGACAAAGCAATGGTGATTGCTGGTAGAGAGAGTTCCACTGAATGGCAATTGGCGATCGTTTGCAGAAGATTATGTGCTTCATCAATTATGACGATGTTATCTTTTAGATTCACACCCCACGCCTCTCGAGTCGCTTTTTGCAGTAGTACCTAAGGAACATTATTATGCTTTCACTATGAATATTGATTTCAATAATGAACACTATTGTGAGCATTATTCACTACTGTTCAAACTAACATCAATTTCGATTACATTCAATTCTTTATTCTAATTTACACGAATCAATGCCTATTGCATTTAGAATGACTCTTAGTGACAATCAATTATTCTGAAGAAACATTCAGTTTCTGGAAAAGAATTAATTTCCTCTCAAACCAAACGAGATTCTGCAAATAAACAAATTTTTTGAACCCATTACAAAACAGAAATATCCAGAAAGTATCAAAAAATAACATCAGCTTGCATACTTCCAATTATCAAAAACCTACAAAACTGAATTCGTCCGGATATTCGACTGAAAAACTAACTTGATATGGGAGGAGAACAATTTGCGAGAGAGCGATTGCGCCCCTGGATGCAAAATAGGGGCATGCTAAGAGCGCTTTTCCTGACTGGATAACCTTGCTAACGGTCGGCACCTTCAGACTGAGCATCTGATCAGTCAACTCTTCAATTGGGTCTGCTCGCCAATATTGACAAGTAGAACACTGAGTGGATCGTTTATTCGCCTGAGATACGGATTCTTTAGGATAATGTAATGCAAAAAATCAATCAAACAATCGATAAAATCAAAGCGAATGCAATCGAAAAAAAATCAAAAATCAAATCATGTGAACATTTGTTAGTGAATCGAATGCGAAATGAAACCAAACGAAACCTTTGAATCATCTCG